AATACACGTGTTGATTTCGTGTCCTAACACTCAGGGGACCACATACATCAGTATGTATTAGGTCAAGTGTGCCTGTACATCTTTCAGGCTTACCGTCAAATGGTCGTTTCGTCATCAGGGGTCAAAGTGATGCCCCCAATTACATGAGATTTTGTCACTCTAAAACCTTGTACTATTCTTAGAATCCTACTCACCATGGTAATCTACCTTCAATGTGCCGCTTCTTCTCCTTGTCATAATAAAATATAAGCCCTGCTCCAGTTGTAATCAGAAAGAGAAAGCTCAACCATGAAACAGGCTGCAAGAGGCAATTCATATGGATTGTTTAAAACAGATTTTGCTCGAATGTCAACCATATCTAATAAGAATATGTGCCTTAGAGAACAGTCCATTGAAAGCATGACGTCTCTTGGAAGCAAAACAAGGATACATATCACCTTCCTGTGTATAGGTTGTCATTACCTACTGAAACATCATTTGTTCATATGGGTAATTCACTGGTTAAAACAGTAAAAATAAAATAATACTAAAAATCACAAACAGCATTAAGCCTGACATATTATAGTAACATCGAAGTCATACAAGCTGATACAAAAACATCAACGTCACACAAAGCATCACTACCCATTTATTACACATGCTTTAAAACCCTGCTTGCTGAGAAATAATTGCCCATGAAAAAGTTGATGAATTCATTTGAATGGTGAAAGTCTTCTTCAACTTCTATGAGTACATTACAGATTTAAAATGGACGAGGTAGTCGCCCTTGAAGGTGACATGTTTTTCTTTCCACTTCATGAAACTAACACACAAAGTTGATCCTTTAGAGTTGGATACAATTTTTTTGGAATCTAATTTCTTTGGATATAACTTGGAGTCTATGGCAGGAAAAGAAGAGCCAAAACTATGAAAGTATGAAGCCAAGGGGAGATTCCTGGTGTGGAATGAGTAAAGTGTAAATATCTACAAACAAATTAATAACTGGAACTAAAAAAATCAACTGAAATGAAAATTTTTAACACAAGAAAAGAGTAAACTCTCATTGCTTTGGGTTTTGACAAAATCCTGGCTAAGGGTGGCTAGCAGATCATGATAGATGGATGTTGGCTGCTACATCAGAGAGGTGAGATATTTTTCTTTTCTTTTCTTTTCTTTTTTTTTTTTTTTGAGAGAGAGAGAAGGTAAAGTATAATGCCATTGAAATAAACAAAAAAGCATGTAGAACAAGCTGAAATTTGATAGGTAACGTATTTATTGATGAGGCTGAAATTTTCATCCCACCATAATCAAGATCTGTCGACTCAGTTGTTAGGTCAAATTGGAAGACATTATACCTTGTGGTTTTTATAAGGGCATGTTTTATGCTTTGGGTGTGGTGCTATGCTGTTTTTCTGCATGCTCCCTCTCCCTTTTAGGGGTAGGTCCCATCTTCTATCTCTCTATTAATAATCAGTATAAATGACATTTTGGTTAATGCCTACTTAATTAATGGACACAGGCAATGGCATTTTAAGAATGGTAACAATTCCAATTAATGACAGCTCAGTAAAAGCTAGAACTGTAAGGTCACTCTGACAAGTGATGGATCAAAGTTCAAATGTGAATTCATCAACACCGTCATCTAAACCATGTCCTAACTAAACAGCATTGGCTATATGACTCCTGTTCCAACATTAGTTCTGTTCATTGCCATATTTTTTCTTAAATTATGAGTTGTAATATCATTTCTCACTACATCAACCCATGTCCTTTTTGGTCTGCCCCATAGCTCTTCTAGACCCTTCAAACTGTAAGAAATCACTTCTTCTTACTGGTGTTGTAGATGGTCTTCTCTGCACATGACTACACCACCAAAGTCTACTTTCCTTCATTTTATTACCTATTGGAGCTACTCCTAGGTTCCTTCAAGTAAGTTTGTTCCTGACCCTATCCTTTTTAGCTTTCCAACTCGCACACTATTCCTGCCACTCATTTTATGGACAAAATAATTCTTTGAGAAGATCTGCATTTCCATATTTGGAATTTAGAATATGATGAAATCCCTAGGGATGAAATCTCATAAAAAAATTACAATGTTTTATATTCTTTAAAGGTTTTACTCCTATTTTTTATCCAATTTTAGGTGTTCTTTCAAACATCAAGGGAAATTGGTGCCTCAAAACAAAAATTGAAGAATGGATCAGAGAAGTGTACCATAGCTACAGTACAATGATAATTACCAGCTATGAGAATTCAATCCATTATGTGGGAATGAATTAGTCAAAACCTTTTTCCTAAGAAAATGACCAGGTTTGGCTTTCATTACATAAACCAAATTAGATTGTATTGTATTGTATGATACCGCTATAATTCCCTTCAGTCCTTTCACCCTCGAACATGAAATTTATAGCTAATTACATAGTTTAATCCTAACCAGCTATTGTCATAATTATGTAAATTTTCAAAAAAAAAAAAAGGTTACCTAAGTAAATCAACAAAATGTGAAACAATTTGTTGTGAACTGGTAGATTTGGGACAGAAAAAAGGAATTCATATCACTACACTGGCATTAAATACCCTTAAATGATATCTGTTAGATGATATACAACCCGTTGGCATGAAATAACCTGCTATCTGAATAAACTTAATAGGCCTATCAAGTCGGAGTTACATTCTCATAGCAAAGTGATCCAAGGATAATTTAGTCAAACAAAAATCTCAGCTAATATAGTAGAAGCATATGGAGTAACAAAAATTTACCCCGCCCCGAACAGGCGAACAGGCTTTCCGGTTTCACCAGTCCTTTGTGATTCGCCAGATTTCTCACTCTCCTCATGATTAGATTCTACAGGCTTCTTTGGTGCTATGTTTTCAGGATTAACAGTAGTGCTATTACATAGACATCTTTGAATTACAGTGCACGATTGTGTTCCATAACCTAGATAACTAACCTGCAAAATAAAGCGAAGCAGGAAAAACAGGAAAAAACATAAGAGAATGAATTCCATGATAACATTCATTTTAACCGGTAAATAAAGTTAAGCTGAAACATCGTTAAGAATATATAAGATGACAGACCGATGGGATGGCTGGGTCTGGGTTGGCTCCAAATGGGGGAATGTCCGGGACTCCATGGAAGCGTTGAATATAGGGAGATGATGCCTTAATTAGCTTCGAGTGATGCTGACTGTAGAAGAGGAGACTGCGACGAATGAAGCAACAATATGTGTTTCTCGAAATAGCAGACGCCATTGCTACTAGTGCCCTCACCTAAACTGCAAAAACTAATAACGGGTCTCGTCAGATAGGGAAGGAATGAAGGATGCAGAGAAGAAAGAAGATGGCGAGTCTGAATTCTGAAAGGCCAATGCCTGCTTTGCTTTGTAAACTGTAATTGTAGCGCACTGCGCATGTTAATTATAAGAGACGACATCCCCTACAACTACAACGTTATAACTACTAATCACAACCAACTGACAATACCATTGACACCTGCTGAGCTTAGCTAAGCTGATTGGCTGATCCCATTGCACCGGTGCCTTAATTACAAATCCACGGGTAGGATGCGGTTTATAAGGATTATTAATAGACTATGGGCTGTAATTTCAGAATTTCGCAGTGGCCTGTAATTTATAAGGGCTACTAGTAGACTATTCTTTTTATAACATGGTTTGACAGCATTAGTGACGCTTTAAGGGCTACTAACAGAGGGCGCCTCACAATAACTTCACGGCAAATGAAACATTTTCCGTACTTATATGTTATTATTTATGGGAGATCTAATGCATGGTGAGATGTGCATGTGAAGTCAGTGTGAGACACTCCCTAAGGAGCAAATTCTAATCTAGTACGAGATTAGATCTACTTCTGATAGAGGGTGTCTCGCAAAGACCTCACAGGCACATCTCACTATGCATTGAGAACATCTTCCGTATTTATACGTAATTATTCACGGGAAATGTTCTCAATACATGGTGAGATATGCACGTGACATTGGTGTGAGGCACCCCCGTAATGAGTAGATCCCAATTTCAGTACGAGACCAGATCTACTCCTAATAAAGGGTGCCTCACGACAACTTGACAAGCACATCTCACCATGCATTGGGAACATCTCTCGTGCTTATATGTTATTATTCACAGGAGATGTTCTCAATGCATGGTGAGATGTGCATGTGAGGTCGGTGTGAGGCACCCTCTGTAAGGAGCAGATCCCAATTCCTACAGTATGCATCCAATTATTCTTGTTTGCACATTTAGATTTTAAGATAAGATTACATTGGTGCCCCGGTAGCGCCTCACAGAACATCTAACTGTGTATGCATAACAATCTCCCAATGACAAGCAAAAATCAGATTCGGTCAGTGCAAGGCCCATTCGAACACCCATTATAGCCTTGTATTAGGAATATATCCCCATGAAATAAAGCACAAAAGTGCAGAGATATTCTCGATGCAAGGCTGTGAAGGTTGTTTGAACGTTTCTTGCACTAACTAAAGCCGACCTCTAACAAGCACGAGAGGTGTTCCTAATGCACGCTGAGATTTACATGTGGGGTGCAATGTGTTGGCCAATGTGAACTCTTCTTAGATTTTTCTTTCTTAGATTTGAAGGACCTTTATGATATTTTTAATTAAACGATGCTCATTTAAGTAAAATTCAAGAATTATTTTTTTTATTATGTCTAATTTATTTTAACATAATTCAAGTTTCACTTTAGTGAAAATGGCTAATTATATATGCTCTATATAAATTTGTATTATGTTTTGGATCTTAATGCTAATTTTTTATTAATTCTTAAATTTTATTAATATGTAATTATTTTTTATTAATTTTAGGTAAAATTAAAAAAAAAACTCCTCTTATAACAATTCTATAAATCATCATTGTGTTTTAACCCCTATTGCTTTGAAAAAAATGCAAATACCTCCTTTTCTTTAGCTTTTAGTAACAACAAACACTTGAATTATATTTTAAATTGTAAGTAACAATAGTTTATGTATATAAATTAAATTTTAAACTATAATTAATAGCAATAATATTTATACTATAATTAATAGTAATAATATTTATATTGTATTTTAAATACATATAGTTTAAGTTAAAATATAAATTACATGTTAAGTTATATTTAAATTATAAATTTGTTGATAAAATTAAAAAAATTATTATTTTTAAACTTAAATATTATTAATTTTAAATCCCCTAATTGTTATGAGCACCCGCACCACACGGCAGCAGTTGAGGCAGCAACACGCACACGACCGGCATCGCACGACAGCGGCACCATGAGTCGCGCGCACGCACTGCGCGGCAGCGGCACCGCACGCACGCACGGTGCGGCACTGCGCGCACGCACCCGGCAGCAGCAATAGAGCGGGGCCCACGCGACAGCTCATAGGGTGGGCCCACCCTTATCTGGACACGTCAAGAGAACGCGCCTTATCCCTTATCCCACTCTCCCTTATATTGTCCCCTATTCTTAGAAGGAATTGTAGTACCATTAAAAGTAGGTAGTCTAATTAGAAGTAGGAGTTTGAGTCCATTTAGGACTAACCTATCTGAATCCAACAAGGAACCCTCCTCTTGTAATCTTCTATTTAAGGAGACGCCATTATTGAATGAAGATATTGAATATTCAGTCAAGGAAGAGAGTAAAGGAGAGTTAGGTGATCTCTTGGACAAATCACCCGCGAGATAGTCAAAATAGGGCCTGTACGCAAGGCCAAGGGCAAGGAAAGATCTGAGGTTCCTGTGGTGGAGCGACCCGTGACGCGATCCTACGCTCGGGCCCATAACATCTTGGTATCAGAGCCTACC